ACAGGGGTTTTCGTGAGGTGCTATTGATCAATTTCAACTCACAGTGACCCAATGTACAACAGAAGGAAACGAAACCTGGTTCTGCTCCGTCCTCAAAACTGTTCCTGTGTTTGAGCCCATTGCTGTAGCCACTGGGTCAGACCAGCTCATCAAAGGCCTTCCTCTTTTTTGCTGCCTCTTCTTCATGTTACCAAGCATGCTGTCCTTCTCCAGGGACTGGTCTCTCATGACAACATGTCCAAAGTATGTGAGATGACGTCTCACCACCCTTGCCTCCAAGGAGCGCTCTCTGGTTGTACTTCCTCCAAGACAGATCTATTTGCTTGTTTAGCAGCTCTGGGCACTTCTGATAGTCTTCACTAACCCTGCGATTCAAGGCATCAATTCTTCTTCAGTCTTCTTTAGTCAATGTCTACTTTACACGTGTGTATGAAGCAGTTGAGAACACCACGGTTTGTGATGGCTTGTGTGTTGCTGTGACGCTGGAAGCTCCTTCAGATGCCTGCACAGTCACCCAGCGTGAACAGGTTTCAGCACAGCTGCCAGACTCAGAACAGACTATGAAGGAGCTTTCCACCTAAGAGGAATTAGCCGCTGCAAAGCTTGTGGGTGGCATCAACGGGGTGGGTGAGTGGCAAGCACGGGGTTCCGCTGAACCATAAGGAAGGAAGGAAAACCCAGTGCCGTCAAGTGGGTTCTGACTCACAGCCCCCCCAAAGGACAGAGGGGAGCTGTTCCTTAGGGTTTGGGAGACAGAGCATGTTCTGAGAACAGACAGCCTCATTTTTCTCCCATAGAGTAGCTGGTGGGTTTGAACCACCGACCTTTCTGTTAGCTGCCCAATGCTTAGCTCACAGCGTCATCACTTCTCCCATGATAGATAAGGGTGGGGGCTCAGCTCGGGGGGTAGTCACAAACACAGAGGTCAGGAAGGTTGGGGTCAGGTCATGGAGGCTGTTGAAGGGCTGGTAAGGATCTGGGATATTGTCATGTCAACCTGGGAGCGACGGTGGACAGTTTCCTCACTGTGGAGTCCACGTGAGATCCTGTAAGGAGTGGATGTGGGCAAGGGGGCTTCGAGCAGTTTGTGGGAAGACTCTGTTATGTCCTAATGCCATTCCCCCAGTAGTTTTTGGAAGTCTCCCTTGTGTGTGTACCTAGATAATCTTGATTTTTGAAAGGTGAAATTGTACCAAATGTTTCATCAAATATTCCTAATTTTTCTCATTGGTATCTAAGCGTCTTAAGTTTCATCTCATTTTACCAGTTTAGGGAAGTTTATGCCTAGTCCATGCATGTTAAAAATAAGTAAGGGACGTTTTCTGCAGAAAGTTACAGCCTACGGTCTAGAGAGAAACAGCCTTCTCTTTTCCTGACAGTCGACAGAATTTCATGGGACTGACTGTCGCCTTGGACAGCGAGGGGAAAGCTCAGGGCCAGATGTTCTGGGACGATGGACAAAG